ACCTGGGCAATGAAAAGGTGCTGAACTCTAGGGTTTTCTTGCTAAAATGCTACAGCGCCTCTGTACTGGCACATGCCCACCCATGCGCCGCCATGATGGGTACGCAAGCACTGCTGGCAGCGTGGGGCTTAGTGCGGGAACGGCTGCTTGGCCCCTCTGCTGGACACGGGCAGAGGATTTTGGATACGGCTGAGCCCTTTTGGCATCTGACTGTCCCCGTCCCAGGGTGTGTTTTCCTGGCACAGGGTGAACAGATGCCACAAGGAACCCTTGGGGTTCTTGAACACGTCTCCAAATGTTTCCACAACTTTCTTGAGGAAAAACATGGCATTAAACCTCCTGCAGATAATGGGAACACAATGAAGGAGGCATATGACAACTCTCACAGAGGCAGTAATTTGCTTTTACAAATTGCCCCAAGAACGGGTCCCGTTACAGCTGCAGTAACTGAAGTATTTCCAAAGTGCTGCATGGACTTGACCCGTGATGCTCATTAAAGTTGATAGGATTTATTAAAGTCAGGGGGGCTTTTGCTGTGTTTCCTGACCCAAACTGAATGGAAGACTACAGGCATTTGGGCCTGACAGATAGTCTTTCCATGTCCAGAAGCACAAAAAAGGAGGGTTTGGGACTGGAGTAACCCTGCTCTATTGCTCTAATGATGGCTGGGGCCAGCACATGAAAAAGCAGAGCACCAAACCTTCCCGCACATCTGCTGTTCCCATCCAGAGCGGCGCGTTTAGGCCCAAAGCATGTTGGCAGCCTCACACATTTCATGTTTCCTTCGCAGAGGTGCAGGCGAAGCAGCGGGGATGAAGACCTTTGGGCTTGTGTCCAACAAAGACTGTACTGCTGTCACCGCCAAACGTAGAATCATAGAATGTTTTGGGTTGGAAGGCACCTTTAGAGGTCATCTAGTCCAACCCCCAAACGCAGATGGTACAAGCAGAGCAGCAAAAGTGAGAAAGTCCAGGGCACTCGGTAATGAGGCCTCGCCTTTGTGGGTGGTGGGGAAAGGCTTTTGACAAAAGCATTTGGGGTTTTTTTCCAGTTCACAAGCTAGAAGCTGCATGTATGTCCAGCTGAGCTGCTCGGCTTATGTTGGGTGTTTTTTTTCAGAGTGTGCAGATGTTGAATTAGCTGTCACCCTGGGGGGAACACTGTGGGGTACGGATGGGGCCAACACTTCCCACATCCCAGTGGGGCAGGGAGGCTTTATGGGGAACTACTCTATGGGAGGTTGGGTGCATGAAGGGTGGGGACCCCTTCATTCAAGAGCTAATGAGATCTGATGGATCTTTTTGTGTCATGGGTATTTCAAAAGCTTTGGGGAGGACCACACATCCTCCTGTTAACCAGGACAAGGGCAGAAATGGGGCTTCTGCTCTGTTCCCCTGCGGCAGCGGAGCGTGGTTTGGGCTGGGGTTAAGGATGAGGAAGGAAGGGCTGTGGTTAAGGCACTGTCTTGTGTTCTGAGCACACAGCGCCCACACCCTATCCCCTGTGTGCCTTCACACTTGGGAAGGTGGGTTGGGGGAGGCGGGGAGCAGGAGCTGACCCCAATCAGGTGCATGTTCAAGCAGCACCCATGGCTTTGCCCACACCTTGTGTGCACGTTCACTGTAAAAGCTCTGGAGTCCCAACACAACTACAGCCCACAGGCTTCCACCTGCCTCTTCCTCCCAAGCTCTGCCCTGGTGTCCCCACCGTGGGCAGCTGCCTTCCCTCTGCCTTCCTCATCCCCGGGAAGGCAGCGTTCAGAGGCAGTGGTGCCTCTGCTCCCCTCTCGTTGGACCTGGGGACGTCACCAGGAAGCTTGGCAGAGGCTTTATGACCGGAAGGGGTGAAAGGGGGTGGTGCGCGGCCCCTTCCCCACCCCACTGCTCAGCCCTCACCCCTGCGGGTGAAGATTTTCTGAATGGCCGCATACAGAACTCAATGAACATGAGAACCCCAGGCCTCATTTTGTTGAGGCCAATAGTGAATTTAACTACTATATGGGGGCCTGCATAAGAGCTCCCAACATCCCCCACTTTCCCCCCCCAAATAATTACTGAAATCAAACCAGTTGTTTGCTAGGACACCTTGATCATGCTGCAACGGCCTAAAGCTCGTGAGCTGCACTGTGCTGCAGTCACCCAGCCCCAGGTGCCAGGCTCAGTGTTTGGCCGGTGCAGAGGGGCTCAGGGTGGGGATGGAGCAGGGAAGGGCTCTGCCCTCCTCCAAGGCACGGAACCATGGTCACTCTCAGAGCCCAGGTAGGATGGATGGATGGACAGATGGCAGGATGGATGGATGGATGTTCAAGCATCCCCAGGCTCACCATGAATGAGAACAGATGCAATAGTTGCCCTCCAGTGCTGGATGATGGCTCAAGCCAGGCTCAGCAAACAACTTTCCAGGACTGGAATCTTAAAACAGCATTGCAAGTGTGGTAGCTGCTGGCTTCTCCCCATGTGGTTGCTGGTGCTCTCCAGCTCAGGTGCCAAACGTGCCAGGGTTTGGATGCTCACCCCGGTGAACACGTGCAGAGCTGGCAGCACTGTGTGAGCTTTCCTCTGCTGAGGACGGGACTGGGGAGACGGCCAGCAGACGTTATGCTTAAGGAGCATTTATCGGCACCATTGCCTTGTGCAAACTGCAACAGCAGCCTAATTTTTCCAGTCTGTTATGAGCTGGACCAGTGCAAAGTCCAGAGATTTAAAGGCCTGGCTTTGCCCCCTGCATCCAATGAGTTTCCAGACCTCAAGAGGAGAAGTCCCAGAGCCCCTCTGAATCCAGACGTTTTGCTCAGCCCAGTGTAAGGGAAAGCAAATCCTGTGGGCAGTGCCGAAGCTTAGAAAGGGAAAGAAGCCTTGTCTGGAATATAGCGGGGAAAGAGAGTGAATGTGTGTGTGTAGCAGGGAGAGAAGAGAGCGAGACCAAGTTAGATTTCTTTCTTTTATTATACAGGGTCATATGTACAAGGTCACCTTCCTCCCAAACATCAGCATCACAGTTGGTTCACAGCAAAAACTGCAGCTTACCTCTCAAAGCCTAGGGAACAGCGCTACAGCGGCTCAGTACAACACAATGGATAAATTGTACAGGAACCGGAAAAAGTTAGGGGAAAGCCCAGTTATCCCTTCGATCCCTCATGAATTATTTGAAACTAAGAAATGCAAATAAAATGTTGTGCTTCAAGAGCCATGCTTGCTCCGGGATGGCCCTCGGGGGAGGGCAGGCGGCCCCTGAGCCCTGTTTTCCCCTTCGCCCTTCCAGAGCGATGCCCTTAGGTGAGGTCTGGCTTTGAGCGCTGGAGCAGAAAGCGGGAGTCCCCTTTCAGAGCACGCTGCACCACCTGGGGGGGCCACGCGTTTTCTGGGAGGGTTTGGCCAAGGAGAAGCTGCGGACACCTGTCCGAATTCAAAGCGCTGGGTAGGTGTGTGTGTTTTGGGAGAGGGAATAGGGGAGATGGGCAGGAGACATCTGATCTAAATAAAGTGCTGCGGGAGTTTCAGTCCCACCTACCCCTGAACTCAGAAAAAACTGGGTAAGCCCCCAAAGGAGGAAGGAAGGAGAAAGGCTGAGAGACCTCTTGGGTGCTGTGGTGTGGGGGGGTCCCAGGACCAGCCGCCTGCCGCAGCCCTCTGCTTGCAGGACCTGGCATGGAGCAAAAGCAGCTTGAATCTGGGGAGGCTGGGGAGGTGCTCGCACGCCCACATGCACCGTGCGCAGGGTGTTGGTGGGTACCAGTCTCGTTTCGCTTGGGCAAGCTGTCAGGCTGCGCAGACCCGTGGGGTGGGTGATGGAGCGCAGCCTCCGCCGTCCGGAGCAGGAGTGGTCACGCCGCTCTCCCGGCGTGCCAGGTTGGTGCGAAGACCCAGCGGGGCTGGGGTGAGGGGAGACGTGAGCAGCTGGGGGAAGGGGTCAACGTCCCTGGCATGGGCTGGAGAAGTGGGTAGATTACATCCCTCCCAGGGAGCAGCTGGTCCAAGAAAAGGGTCTCATCCACACGTGCTTGCACCCCGTCACTCTGCAGAGACTTGCTCAGTCTTTACATAGTGGTTTCCCAGGGGAGAACGAGGAGACCAAACCACTGAAGATGACTTATGCTTCGTTTCTCCTGCTCGGGATCACTTGCTCTCCTGCGGGCAGCTTCCTTCCCCCTTCCCCTCTCTGCGAGCAGCTGCAAAGAGCCCAGCGCATGCACCAGCACCGATGCCCTTCTGCCTGGAAGTGGCCGTTCTGGCAGGACAGCGCACCCCACACCCTCTTCCTCAGCATGGCCTTTCGCGTGAGAACACAAATTGTCCTTGCTGAGACAGTGCTTCTCCCCCCGTTAGCAAATGCTCTGGCTCTCACCTAGCATGGGGGAAAAAAGTCTTTATTGGGTTAGGCTGAGTTCTCCCTCCTCTCCTACAAGAAGCTCTATAGAATCGCTGATGCGTTTGGTGACACAACCGCTCTCCCGTTACCCAGTCACTGACGGTTATGGATTGTGCCGGGTTTGGCTCCTGCCTCTGCTGGCTGCAGAGCTCCAAATCCATTGCACGGGGGCGTGGGGGCTTCACTGGGAAGATGAGTTTTCTTTGTCTTTGTTTTACAGATGGATGGAAGATGTCAGGCCATGTTTCTCCTTTTGAATGCCAGGTAGAGATGACAGCAGCACTTCGATTCAGCTTGTCTTGCTCATTGTGCCAGGACAGGCTCTCGCCTCGTGCTTTCCTCACACTGCTGCTCACTGCTGTTCTGGATGGGCTGCAAGGAGAGAAGGAGGGGGGAAACCTGCATTGTTTTCCTTGAACCTCAAAGATTGGTGATTTAGGAAAGGGAGTGAGGGGTTGATCAGTGACCCAGCTGAGCAGCCAGGCTTGGTGCTAGGAAACGCAGAGGATCAGCGTAGAAGAGCATCTTCTGAAGCAGCGCCCCCCCCACCCCAGCACACATGGAATGAAAGTTTTTGCTCAGAATCAGCCTCTAAACCAACCCCCAAAAAGCAGTGTGTGAGCTGTACCTGGTTACTGTAGCCTGGCATTCTCCGCATCTGTGTAATGGCTGTTCTCCAGGAGGGAGAAGGGAAGCAGACCCTGCCTGGGAAACCACAATGCCTTGGAGCCGGCACCACGGTGGGGAGAGCTCGCATGCTGTGAGCAGCGTTGGGTTGGGTTGCTCGGCGTGGTGGAGGAGCTACAAACCACATCTGATGCGGGCACTGGGGGCTGTGGCTGTGGTTTCTGGCAGACACAGTCCCAGACAAACTCCCAAATTTCCTCTGGCTCCTTACTCTGGAAGGGGTCTGCCAAACAGGCCTGGGATTTGCGATTCCCTTTTG